TGGCCTGCACATATGCTGTGTGAAGGTATCAGACCCCCTGGAACAGGAGTTACTGACATTGTGAGTTGCCATGTGGGCACTGGGATTTGAACCCGGGCCCGTCTGGAAGAACAGCCAGTGCTCTTAATTAACCACTGAGCCATCTTGGCAGCCCCAGTGCCTTGTATATTTCATCGGGATTAACTAGTGAGACTAATTCATGCTTAATGCTCACGAACAGCTTGCTCCTCTGCTATCATTGTAGGTGAAAGGTAACACAATGTGGCTGAAGAGGCACATGTTGTAGAATATTATTTTAAGGTGTGTTCCTTTTGTTTATGTTGCATTTGTTTAACTCTGTGGAGCTGTGCTATTGTGCTTGTCTGTCTAAAACACCTGATGGTCTAACAAAGAACTGAACGGCCAATAGCGAGGCAGGAGAAAGGGTAGGCGGGGCTGGCAGGCAGAGAGAGTATATAGAAGGAGAAATCTGGGGGGAGAGAAGTAGCCAGAGAAGGAGGAGGACTCCAGGTACCAGCCACCCAGATACCCAGCAAGCCATGGAGTAAGAGTAAGATTTACAGAAGTAAGAGAACGGGAAAAGCCCAGAGGCAAAAGGTGGGCAAGATAATTTAAAATTAAGGAAAGCTGGCAAGAAACTAAGCCAAGCTAAGGCTGACCATTTATAGGTAAGAATAAGCCTCCATGCGTGACTTATTTGGGAGCTGGGTAGTGGACCCCCCAAAAAGCAAAAACAACAGGCAAAGATTTGGGTGTACATCAGTGATGAGTCCAAGTCCTAAATATCCAAGGGGCTTTGAGCAAGTCACCTAATGGTCTTCAGCCTTAGCCTCCTACTGTGTGAGGTAGGGATAATGGGATGGGCTTTATGTTTGGAGATGGAGAGGAATGTGATGTATTGAGCGTCTGGCACATAATAGTTCGCCGTCATCCTCCTTCCCAACTCCCAGAAGAAAATTCGTCCACTGGTATGAAGAGGACTGGGTTAAAAATTTACAAGTGGGAAAGTTCACATGTGAACAGGTAAATTCAGTAACAGTCATTTTCAAAAAATCAGGAACAAGGTGGAAGGAACCATGTGGTCTTAGGAAGACAGACAGGATATTAATAGCAGGCAATATTATAGCTCTTTTCACCTCTATCCTCCAACTTATACATTTTTTTAAAATGTGAAATAACATGACAAGCAAGCCAACTTTGGATATGCCAAGGTATTTTTAGATTCTTCCGCCACTCAGATTCAGGAATTACACCCCCCTCCCTACCCCATGACTATTCTAAATGCCAGACTTTCCCATGATGTCTCTCCCAGTTAAGATTGTTTTTTGGTTGTTTGGGATTTGGGATATCAGTTTTCTCAGTGTATGTGTGTACATTGTTTACATTCACAGATCTCTCTCTGTCTCTGTCTCTCTCTGTTTCTACACACACACACACACACACACACACACACACACACACACACACACACATTCTCTCTCTCTCTCTTCCTCTCTTTTGCCAACAATGAGAATCCAAGGCTTTCTCTAGGAGTCTCAGCTGTGTGGAGCAAATTGAAATTTCCTGTATCTTGTGGAATGTCTCCCATGAGCTCACTGGGTTCTTTGAACCTTTTCTTTCATTTTCTCCAAATCAGAGGTTGCTGTTGGAAAGCATGAGCTAATGCTTTGGCAGACCAGGTAAGTAGCTCATGATGTAAGGCACACAGTCCAAAAGCTGAAATGTGGCCTCAGGATAAAAAGTCGACCTGAGGCTGGGTGGTGGTCGTCGCGCACGCCTTTAATCCCAGCACTTGGGAGGCAGAGGCAGGCGGATCTCTGTGAGTTTGAGGCCAGCCTGGTCTAAAAAGTGAGTTCCAGGAAAGGTACAAAGCTACACAGACAGAGAAACCCTGTCTTGAAAAACAAAACCAAAAACAAACAAACAAACAAAGAAAAAAGTCGACCTGATATAGAATCATTAATTCATTGACTATTTGAAATGGGAAAGATTAGGCACAGAAATACCCCCACACATTCGTTGTATGTTGATTACCATTCTAGGCAATGTGGGGACACAGCCATGATCAAAATCCCAACTTCAAGAAAGAACTTGAATTGGGAATGTGCTTGAGGGAAAGCCAGGAGGCTGGTGAACTATGGTAGCATGAGAAGGGGGTGTTCAGATAGTATCAGGGAAGAAAGGTGTCCCCAGAGGACACAGTGTATAAGGACTTGAGCTCTTCTTCTGCATAAAATGGGAAACTGTTGGTGATTTTGAGCCACAAGGTGACAGAATTTGACATGGTCAAAGGATCCATCCATCACTGTGGTAAGAACAGACTTCCAACAGGCAGAGTAGATGCAAAGGGGTTATCTACACAGCCCCAGTGAGACATGCGGGTGGTCTGGACCAGGACAGTGGCTGCAGAAGTCAGAAGCATTACCACTCTGGATTCCATTCTGCAGGTAGACTCAAGATAGCATCTTGGTAGACTGAGTCAGGATGAGATAGGAGAGTCAAATATGACTCCAAGGTCTTAGTCAAGCAGCTGGAAGATTGAAACTGCCATAAACCAGAATGGGGGAGACTGTGGCTGGGATGGGACTTCGGGAGGAAGGACAGCAGCCCAGTTTGGGATGAATGAGATGTCATTGTGCATCTTAGTGGGGATGTTAGGTGGACAGCTGTTTAAAGGGTTTAGATTCAAAGGCCCTGAATATAAAGCGACAAGCAAGCCCAATGCTCAGAACAAACTGACATCACAACCAATTCATATTCCTGACTGCTTCACTTTGCTCATAAACATCCCACAGCAGAGGAGACTCTGGAGTCAGTCCTAACCCGTAACAGTGCATGTCTTTTTATACGTACATGGGTGCATTTGTTTTATATAAAGGAAATATATTGATTGAAGAACCAAGTTGACCTTTTCAGCCCCAGCTCATAAAGAGGATAATATAGTTATGAATGCAATTTCTCCCCCACCTTCCAAACCAGTAGCCAGGAAATGACCAACAGCCTTCATCAATTACTGCCGTCTATGTGCTCCTCGCTAGCTCCAAACTTCCCTTGGGGCTCCCCACAAATGGCTCTTCTTCCCTTTCTGGCCCTCTCTGCTCCTCAATAGCTTCCTTCTTTCCTGTCCCGGAAGAATCTTCCTTTCCTTCCATCTCCTCCAGCCCCTCCCCCAACCTCGCATGCTATTTCCCCAGTCTTCTATGACTATTAAGTCCTGGTTCCCTTAGATAAGATGCAAAGGAATCGTGAAGAGCTGTGGAACTCTGGCGAGCTGTTGGAAGAGCCTTGGATGGTCCCAGGTCCTCTGGACGTTCAAATGAGGGAGGTAGTGGTAAGAGGTCCTTGTGTTCCTATCCCAGGGGAAGTATGCTCCTTCAACCCCTTAAGTTTGTGGAAGGCAGCCATGGACCTACAGGTGTCCATCATCCTGTCTGATTAATAGAATCTTGTCGGCATTTAGTTGAGGGTGGAACATTTTGTCAGCCATAGTTCCTGGATTCCTGAAGTTTAGAGGTGAGCCTACCTACCTGGTGGAAGGGAGGAGATGAGTGAGGATGTCGCAAAGCCTTGTCACCTTTTGACTCCTGCATGTGTGACAGGACAGAGCATTAGCAAAGGCCCTCAGTCTCTCCCTCCACTTTTATGGTTGAGCTCAAGAAGGACCTTGCTTTCTAGGGTTAGCTAGAGGCTCTTGATGTTTCCTGCATGGCTCATTGCTTTTACATGGCAGGAGTGTCTCAGAGACAGGGATGGCAGCTCAGTGGATGAGTCTCTTGCTTAGGGGGGTTCTCCACTCAGAGTTTTCTACTATTGTAGCTGATTGACAGATCTGTGCTTGTTAGTGTCTGTGTCTTAGTCAGGGTTTTCTATTGCTGTGAAGAGACACCATGACCACAGCAACTCTAATAAGGGAAACATTGAATTGAAGGTGGCTTACTTACAGTCTCAGAGGTTTAGTCCATTATCATCATGGCGGGGAGCATGGTGGCATTCCCGCAGATGTGGTGCTGTAGGAGTAGCTGAGAGTCCTACATCTTGCAGACAACAGGAAGTCAACTGAGACACGGGGCAGTACCCTGAGCATAGGAAACCTCAAAGCCCGCCCCACAGTGACACACTTCCTCCAACAAGGCCACACCCACTCCAGCAAAGCCACACCTCCTAATAGTGCCACTTTCTATGATCTCATAGAAATGAGACCACTTACCTTCAGACTACCACAGTCTGGAAAACTGAGCATGGAAATAACCCTTCCTTGGTTCAATAACTCTAACAGACACACAGGTGAAGCAAGCCAGGAGCATGACCATTTCCCTTGAGTGTAGGCAGCGGCCACGGCAGCCAGAGAGGCAGGAGACTGGTACAGGAAGCGCAGTCGCCAGTGACTCCAGCTAGCCTGGCATCTTCAGAATCTGGCATGGCTCCGGGTCTCTGACCCTTGTCTTATTCCATCCTTCCTGAGGATTCATGAAGAGTGTGCAGGGGAATGCAGAAGGCTTTTTATAGGCATCCTGGTTCAACCTCTGAAGGGTTGCTGAGAGAGAGAAAAAAAATCTCAGTGGAAAGATCTTTAGAAATGTCCTTGCCAAATGTTTTATTTAGTTCTTCATCACGGGACATATTTGTGCAGGGAGTTTTTCCTAACACTTTCCAAGCTCTGGGGGATGTGGGACTCTTGAGAGGTCTCTCCATCAAGATGGGAGGAGCAGGGATGGGGGTGGGGAGGGGGCCTCGGCTTTGACACTTTGAACCTGGCCAGATTTCTGGAATCGCCAAGTCATTTACATCCACTGTCCCCAGCTCTGATCCTGCGGAGGGTGAATAAGGAATCTTTAAAAACCCATTCTTTTTATCCCTCCGTGGAAGTGAAACTTCCGATGGCAAATAAAACGCGACCCATGTATATCACCCCTGTAAAGGATGGAGGATTCGCTTTCACCCCTGCTTTTCTTGAGCTGGGGCCAGCCTTCCCTGCTGTCTCTCTTATGGAATACGGAGCCAAAGGAACACTCCTAAAGGGGAAGAGAGGCTTCCTCTCCCTTCCGTTTGCAGAGGGAGCCTAAGGCAGCAAGTTTGGACTAGCCGCTTCCCCACGAAAGACCCCACACCAAGCTCATTTTGAAGGGCGCCCCTGTGTTTTCTTTCCTGTTTTCTGCTGGGACTGTCTGGACTTCTAAATTACATGGGGGAACAGCTGGGGAACAGAAAAGCTTCTCTCATCTGCTCTCTGGCCTGCCTCAGACTCCGGGAGCTGTGAGTAGCTGGAGGTTTCCAGGGTGGCCTGTGGGATCCGGCTGAGCTGAATAATCCATCTGAGATCAGGAGAAAGGGCACAGACGCAGGAACATTTATGAGCAGAGGAGAGTCTTGATCCCTTTCAGGTTCATTGGAACGTCACTGCCCATAAATCAGCCGCCTCCTCTTTTTCTCTACCTCAGCACCACACACACACACACACACACGCACACGCACACGCACACGCACACGCACACATGCACACACATGCACGCACGCACACACAGAGACAGAGACAACAGAGAGGGATACACACACAGTGACAGAGACAAACAGAGACACATAGACAACAGACACACATACAGAGGAAGACAGACAGACACAGACACACAGAGAGACACAAAGACAGAGATGACAGGCACACACACAGACACAGAGAGAGAGAGAGAGAGACAAAGATAACAGAGAGAGATAGAGACAGATAGACACACAGAGAGATACATAGACAGAGACAGACAGACAGACAGAGAGACACAGAGAGATGACAGAGAGGGACACACACACACACACACACACGCATGCACACACACACACACACACACACACACACACACACACACACACACACAGAAATGGACCAAGACCCACAGTGAGGGTCACACCAGGCAGAGTTCTGGTCCTGATTCTGTGTCCGTGAGCTGGCAGCCTGGGATAAACAATTACCTTTCCTTGGCTTTTTATCTATCAGGTGGGAGAAGAGGAGATACTGAATGACCATTTTAACCTTGATTTTATTTTAATTGTGATATATATATATATATATATATATATATATCAATATATCATAAAATCTGTCACCTTCACCATATTTTTGTTGTCACTTTGTGCTTTGAGACAGGGGTAAGCAGCCCAGAACCGCCTTGGAACTCACATTCCCCTTGTGCTCAGCCTCCTTGATGCTAAGCTTACAGGAACATGTGACCTCTCTTGAGCGTGCGGTCCAGTGGCACTGTGTGCACCCCCACTGTGGAGAAACTGATTTCCAGAACACTTTCATACTACAAATCTGAAACCGGACCCATGAAACAGCGTCCCCTTCCCGAAAGCCTCTGGTAACCACATCATTCCTTCTGTGAACCTGACATCAGATAATGCATAGAAAAGAATCATTCAGCACTTGCCTGTCTGTAACCAGCTAATTGCCTTCCTTTCTAAGGCTGAGTAAATTCCCACTTCTTGCCTGTTGCCTTCTCTTTATCTGTTCATCCAGAGGTGACGCTGTTTCTACATCTTGGCTTTTGTGACGATCTCTAGCATAGAAATGAGCACACAAATACCTGTTCAAACCCCTGCTTTTGATTTATATTTATTTACATATATGTACACAGGCACATCTAGAAAAGAGATTGCCCAATCATGGGGTAATCTTATTTTTGATTTTTTTTTAAATGATCCGTCATACTGAAGTTTTTTTTATTGTCGTTTGTTGGTTTGGTTTGTTTGGTTTGAGGTGGTTCGGTTTGTTTTAAATATTTATCGTATGTGGATGATTGTCTTGGCTGCATGAACGTATGTGTACCATGTGTGTGCCTGGTGCCAGGGAAATCAGAACACAGTGTCCAATCTCTTGACACTGGAGTTCAGACGTTTGTGAGCCACCGAAGTGGGTGCTGAGAAATAAACCTGGGGCCCCTGTGAGAGCAACGAATGCTCTTAACTGCTGAGCCGGCTCTCCAGCCCCTGGCTTTTTGTTTGTTTGCTTGTTTTTTGTTTTTTAGACAAGTTCTCATGTAGCGCAACATGGTCTTGAACCCACTGAGTAGCTGAGGCTGGCCTTGAACTGCCTCTACCTTAGAATCAGTAAGAAATAAAATCTACAAGTGACTCTGACAGAACTTTTACTTTGTAGCTCTCTGTGTTAAAAGACGATAATATGTTCTTTTGGGTTTGATGGAACTGGACATTTGTGACTTTGGGGGAAGTGTGGCATGGTAATGTTTTCCCCTCTCATGTTGACACTTCTTCAGAGCTGACTACGTGTCAATCATTTTCCTAAATGCCCTTCATGTATTATTAACACAACAGCATTCTTAGGATTAAGCACCAGCATCAAAGGCCTCTTTGGATGGTCTCAGGATGTGTTCTCTCCCCTTCTGCCTCCCCATAGTCTACAGCGTTCAGTCGTGCCCTTCAGGACCCCATGCCTGTATCTTTATCATTTCTACCAAGCTTCCCCTTTCTGCCATCATGTGGGCCTTAATCTCTTGAGATTCCTGCTTCTTCCTATTCTTAGAGAGGACTTATCCCCCCAACCCCCGAGACAGAGTTTCTCTGTGCAGCCCTGGATGTCCAGGAACTCACTCTGTAGACCAGGCTGGCCTTGAACTCACAGAGATCCGCCTGCCTTTGCCCTCCCATGTGCTGAGATTAAAGGTGTATGCCACCACCGCCCCACAAGCACTCATTCTTTAAAACATGTGCTTGTTTATGGGAGGGTGGGGTGAGCATGCATGTCCCACAGCATGTGTATGGGGACCAGAAGACAACCCTTGGGGGTCGGCTCTCTCCTTCCTCCGTGTGGGTTCCAGGGATTGAACTCAGGTTGTCACGGGTCAGCAGCAAGTGCCTGTGCTTGGTGAGACTCCTTCGTACCTAGCCTCTGCCCTTTGGGGCTGCGTGTCGGGAGTTGATATCACCCTTACCCTTTAAAACTATGCCCAGGCCGTATTCTTTCCTTCTCACATAAATTTCCCTCACACCTCATCCTCTGTCAAACCTATCACGTATCGTCAGCCACCCATCTGGAGAACTCACAGAGGGTTTTGGCAGCACAATTTCGACCTCTCTCTCCCCCGGCTTTGGCCAGATGTCAGCTGGACGCCTCTGGTGCAAGAAGGGTAACCTGCTAACCCGCTGGCTCCGGGTCTTCAGCTGGGGCCTCTGTCCTGCCCTGCTGGGGTTTCAACATCCCTACTCAGCTGTGCCACTAACTCAGGATCACCGTATCTGAAATCTCTAACCCTGATGTCCTTCCAAATCATCCATTCCCTCGTCTCCGAGACTCCGTTAGCTGATGGTGGCCGGATCCTCCATCCTTCACGTTTATCCACCTTCCATCCCCTCCTGCTCAGCCTCTATCTTCACCGTTATCAAAACTGTTTTCTCACTCATGTCCTCACAGTATAGCAAGCATCCCTTCTCTTCCCTCTGGAAGTGAAGCATCTTGTCTTTCCTTCTGAATCGGTGCTTTACCCTGTGTCCTTGCTACTCAGAGAGAGGCCTTGTCTGTCAACCATTTGGCCTCTGCTGTGTGTATTTGGCCTCATCTGCTCTCCCTACAAACATGTTCAACTTTGCTCATTTTCCATCTGGACCCTGCGACCCTACCATCTCTTCCACCCAACCTTGACCCTTTTCTTCCAACACACACACACACACACACACACACACACACACACACACACACACAAACACACAAGACAAGACTCTGAATCTCCTTTGGACTCTTTGGTCCTCTAAAATTTAGCTCCTATCTACAAAATGTTCAGGGAGAGGTGAGTCTGGGTTAGAATTTGGAGTAGTGAATGAATACCTCGTTACTTCCACTGAACTCGGTAGAAGAAACTCCCTTATCGCGTGAGGATATAACTCAGGGGTCATGTGGATTTGAGAATCATGATATGGCTGGGGACGAGAGTAGGGGAAGATCACTGAGAGCACTCTGGACATCATAATTGAAGGCTAACTTGTGTGGTAACTAGAGCATAGAAGAAGTGGAATTTCCCCGTTTCTCCATGCCTGCCCTTTGGAGAGTGAGATTGGACCAAATAAACCATCATCAAATCGCTTCCAGCTCTAACCATCTTTATATAATAGACTTTCTCCTAACAATGCCTTGAGTTTGTGATCACCTTGGAGACTAGCCTTTCAAACGGGCTTACAAAAGGCCCCCGTGTTCCTTCTACAGAGCCTTCTAAGCAAATATCAAAAAAAAGAAAAGAAAAAGCTTTCAAAGGGCATTGAATTCATCTCATAATAGCCTGTTCCTCACTGTACCTCCCCTTGAGGAAGCCAAACCAGTGTGTGTGTGTGTGTGTGTGTGTGTGTGTGTGTGTGTGTGTGTGTGTGTGTGTCAGTGTGAGAGCTAGGTAATGTGATTTCCATCCAAGGGAGCCATGTGCATTCCCAAGGGCTCTTCAGGCTGTAGCATGTCAACTTTGAGGGGTAACTTCCACTCAATTCAACTTAGACCAAAGAAAGGCTGATGGTTGTTAGACGGATGGGATCTTCTGGCTGGAGCTGGACAAACAGAATATGAGAAGAATGCAGAAGTCAGTCAGGCAGTAAAGAGATGACTTGAATCCAGCCTAGGCTGATGGCTGCTGAATTCCATCTACCCGAATTAAGCTGCTCTGAAAGGGCCAGGATTTGCTATTTCCAGAGGGCAGGGCTGGTTCTGACGCCAGGAGATGTCTGTCTTCATGGTGGTATAAACTGTGTAACTTATTTTAACCTTGCCGGTGTTAAGTCGAAAGGTTACAAAGATTTTGATTAACTTTGTAAGCAGAGCTAGGAGAGTTAAGAGAATTCTTTTTTTCTGGTGGCTTGAGGTTTATTTGATTAAAGATCACAAGAGAGAGAGCTCTTTAAATGGTAGAGATGTTATTGCTTGTTTCCATTATAAATTTGTCCTGTCGAGCATCTGAATTTATATTACGTTTACAAATGCACTTGAAACTTGAGACTGTTAATTGATGAAACAGATAGCTGAGATCTGAGTGTTTCAACAGTCGAATGTGTCCATTGGAGTTTCTGGAAACTCGTCAGAGAAACTTTGAGAATCTTTCTCTTATTCATTTTCAACTTGGTCATAGTTTGAACGACAAGTAACTAAAACCAGCTTGCTTACTTTCAATGTGTAACCTTGAAAATGCAAATGTTAATTTAAAAGTTAACTGGGGTTGGAGAGAGAGCTCGGCTGGCAGAGTGCTTGCCTGGCAAGTCTGAGGAGCTGAAAC